TACCATTAATTATTGTTAATTATCTCTTATTAACCTCTTGTATATAAGACACACTAGAAAACCCATTGTCTCGCGTAGCTTACATTGGTTTTAATAGCATAAACTAACAAAACGAGGTCATAGCATACAATATGTTAGTGTTCATAGCTTTACAATTCAGATTGTGAATCTCTACTCATTCTTTTAGGACTAAGACTATAATCACACCACGTTACATACATTCATTAACACAGAAAATTATTTTCCTGTCTATAAGCCAAAGGGTTGAAGGAATGACCCCAATATTGTACGGGTCGATAAATAAACGAAGTTATCCACTGCATTCTGACTTTCTTAAATATTCATGTATAGACACAGCTGTGGCGGCCATTAACATGCTGTTAAATATTTATATTGCGAGGTGAATTATTTCAAAGAAAATGGGGTTGATGTGATAGAGTTTGTGGGGATATGGTTGTGGGTGAACGTGTTTGTTTCTTTACTATAAATGTGGGGTTTCTTTGATAGCATGGTATATCAAATGACTTCTCCCGCCCGGGTGAGGCGGATGGGAGTGTCAGACTCTTACTGACTAAAAACCACCCCGTTCCTACTCCTGCACTTCGAGCCGTAGCCTCGGTAACCCATTAGGTTTTCCACGGCTCCGTATCGGCATCAGCCCTATTTGGGACCGTCCGTGGTGGTCTGATGGCTCTTTGAGGCATGCGCGGAACGCGATGCGCTGTACGCTCAAGTCTGGTTCTGGTCGGGTGGCGAGCTTGCCCTTGCTTGCCGTTCGCAGACGCGCAGTTACTGTGGCTGGAGATCGCCGTTCGTTCCCTCACGCGCCGCGCCTCCTCCTTGACTACCATGACAGTGTCCATCGCCCAGTCCTCCCCACTCCGCACCATGGCCTAAACCAGAGGCTCACCTTCTACAAGGAACATAGGACCCATAGCGTATCTGGTGATAAGTTGGGGTCCTCGAGAAATTCCCTTGAAATACAAAGATAACTAAAATAATCATTAATACGTAACTAACTCAACTCCATACACAGAACACGTTAACTAAGCTCAGCATAAAAAAATAAGATATAAAACCTGAAAATGAAATCGGCATTAGAAGTAAAAACCATTGCGAGCTAAGACAAGTTAATGCTACAATTTTATTAAAACCCCATTAGGAACTAATGCTTGTGCTAGAGAAAATTACAGAATGGCACGAATGTAGCTCCATTTCTTTAATTGCGGGCTTGTATTGATCTCGGTCTTACGTTTTTATTTCTATCCCACCAATCGCCTCAATGGATGTAGCTATTTGCTTATAATTAAGATAATTCATTGGTTCTATTGTATTTGTTTTATGTTTGTGTTTTGTGCTACTGCTGTTGTTTGTTATTGCTACTGATTTTGTTTGTTCGGCGATTTTGTTCTTCTTGCCTTTGTTATAGTGTATGTGTTTTGTAGTTTATTTGTTTAATCTACTTGACTATTATTGACTGCCTCGTTGGCCGAGTGATCGTAAGCGCGACTGCCGGGCAAGGGGTCTCGGGTTCGATTCCCGGATCGGGCAAAGTATTACTGGGTTTTTAAATATTCTCAGTAGTAGCACGGAGTTGATATGTTTGGAAATGCTTTACACTATAGATAAAGACCGAGTATTTATGACCATATATGTATTACTGGGTTACTATGACGTACCATGACGAGTATATACATAAGAGTATGTATTACTGGATTTTAAAAAAATCTCAGTAGTAGCACGGAGTCTGGAATTGTGCCCGGTATATGGCAATAGGCTCACCCCCTAATACATGGGACTCATAACATAAATAGTGAAAAGTGGGTGTTACATTGTAGAGGTACAGTGGTATAATGTGCACCTCTGCCTACCCCTTCGGGGATAAAAGGCGTGATGTTATGTAATGATATGTTATGTTGTTTAATCTATTATCAGTTTTGATTTAAATCTGAGACAGACAGAAAATTAGTTTGTTAAAATCAACAATCTATTGGTAATTTAGGCATATTTTTAAATTTGTTTAATAGACAAATCCGACCACGATTTACATTCAGCAACCGAAAAGCGAATTAAATATTAATCATATTAAAAGTTTCCCATGTAACATCGGTTTTCACGAGATTGCATTGTCGGATCGTCCATTTAATAATGATCTACACCACCTGTTTTGTCGCAAACAATTTCGGGAGCTAACGGGGGTTGTGTTTTTAGCCGCAGAGGTCAGGTTAGGTTGGTGATTGGAGTCGACCCGAGGGTAAACAATTAGTGAAAGTTAAACATAGATTGGGTCCAAACTCGATGTATGGGCTGTTCCTCATTTGCACGAGAGCACCTAGATTATAGATAGACAACTTGTTCGACAGTGCTCAAACATAATAGATTACATAGTTCGTACAAAAAGTTCTTCGCAATGGATCTGAAGTTTAATTAAGGGTTCATTGATAATGGTGATTAGTGTGGCTTGTAAGGTAAGCTGGAAGGTGATTGGAGGATTGTTTTCTTGACAAGGGTTTAGAAGAAAGTACATATTATTATATAATATAATATAGTATGTTGGCTTCTAGAACTTCTTCGTAATTATTGTTTAGTTACTTTTTCTAATTGTTTCACAAATCACAACTACTTTCATGTCCTATTTAAAAAGTGTATGTAGTTCGTTATGAATTAATGACTGCACGGTTGGCGTGGTGGCTGGGCAACTGGCTGCTGTGCAACGTGCAGTGGGTTGGATTCCCGCACGGAGCAACTCTTACGGCCATTTTCTATAACCTATCTATTTATAGATTTGCTTACTGAGATAGAATTTTGACACAAGCTCCATAGAAATTGTGTCTTAATTCTTTTTCAGTAAGCACATCTACAGATAGATAGGTTATAGAAAATGGCTGTTAGTGTGATCCACAAATTGTTGTTTCGGGTTTGGATGTCATATGTATGTGATATTGTATATTTGTGAACTGAGCCACGACACAGGAGAAAATCCTAGTGTGAGGCAATGTATTTCTTTTTTTAAAAGGTCGTCATATTTTACAAGTAAATCGAAGAAAAAGTAACAATTAAAGTGCATGACTGTTCAATCAAACAGAAACACTTAATCTTGAATGATCATCAAACATCTCATTCATGACAACAAACAGACATTTCCTACCATAAAACAGTACCACTCCATTCAAAACTCCCCTAAAACTAAAATAGCAACTGCACAGTCAATAATCTCATTAACATTTGGCTTGAAATGTTCAACATAACCCTAAAATAGTTGGCGTGTTTGGTAGCAAAATGACACATTGCGGGCCAAAGCGGCAAAGTTCGACGGTGATTCGACCATGTGATTGTTAAAACTTCGCCGAATGTGGCCGGGTTTTGCAAGGGTTGACTCCTAGCTGCTACTGAAAGGGATTTAGATCTGGGTTTTCGAGCTTTTGTAGTACAAAAGTATGGAGGTTTTGCTCCTTTTTTACAATAGATTTTATTTTCAACAATGGCTTGAATTTCTGGATACTTTTCGGTAGAAATTCGCTCACTAACTTAATGGTACTTTGTATCAAAACGGTATTAAATTCAATGTAAAGAATAGTTTATGTATATTGAGCATAATATATGTACAAACACAACATTGTCACACTCTGACTCAGAACTGACTGCAGCAACCTTGTAATCAAAACCTAGCTTATTAATATCTAGTAGTTGTTAAATCGTGGTGCCTCGGAGGTTTAAGAAGCCCGCTGCTCATGTATCAGGGCGCGAGTTCAAGACCTGGCTACGGCAAGTACCTATGTGACTTTTTCTGATTACTTTCTAAGATTATTTAGACACCACTGACAAATAGTGAAGGAAGACATCGTGAGGAAACTTAAGCTTATAATTTCTAACAATCATTTTGAAATTGCCAACCCGCATTGAGCAAGCGTGGTGATTAACGGTCAAGCATTCTTCATACGAGAAGAGGCATTTGGTCAGCAGTGGCTACTTATAGGCTGTCGAATTTGATGCGTGTGATTTTCAAAGAAAAATTAAATAGATTTTTATTTACATCTTATTCAACTTTACTCGCATTCAAAAACCATAATGCATTTTAAAACATATACCTCAAGAAAATATGCTAACAAAATTATCCTGGGAACATAGTTCTTCTGTAAATGCAGAACTATTATCGAAGTCGGTTTGCTCGAGTTCACAAGAGCTGAGATAACTTAGTTAACAATAAGAATGTGTTGTACACATCGAGCTACACAAAGCCAGTTCATCATGATCTCCCTTTACACGACCTTTTCGTTCATCTGACGGTCAACTTATACTGGTTTTGCATAGCTTGGTGCGTCGTGTACTATGAGTTTATTCGGTTTAGTTTCTTCATAGTTCTGCATTACTTGTAAAAGACTTTATAATAGTGTTGTGATTCAGAATAGATTTTGTTGTGAATATAACTTGGTCGTTGTATAGTTTTTAATCTTGTCGAGATTTGTGATTGCTATTTTCTGCTATATTTTGCTTAAACGTTGTATCCTAAACGAATTCTATTTTAAGTGGAGTGTCGAAATCTGGATCACACATGTTTTCAGTGGTTCCGAATTTCAAATCTATCTAAAGCTACTCTTAAAGATTGATCACTACTTCATTCATTTTCTCAAATATTACTTTTTTACTTTTGGTGGGATTTCAAATCTAATTTAAGTGTCAGAGAGTTCCTTGATTGGATTGATACCATGGCCTCACGGAAAATGGACGTAAGATAACGCTTGCGTTATGTTTCGTCGTGGCAGTGCTACCAGAGGCCCAATTACTCCCTAGTCTTCCCGATTCCGGAATCCCATAAACCTCTAATTTCCAATTCCCAAAAGGTAACGCACTTGTAAGGGCCTCTAGTGTTCCAGGTGTCCTTGGGTGGCGCCAATTGCTTACCTTCAAGTGATCCGTCTGCTCGTTTACCGGCTTATCCCATAAAAACATTTGGAACACGACTATTTCTGTATTAATAAAATTGTATCTTTTATTTTCAGATTCGCATGTGGTCAACAGAAAGCTGATCGATGTGCCACAGTTTGAGCGACCCATCGGCAACCATACCTTCCACATTGGAAAAGAAGCCGTCCTTGGTTGTTCTGTCATTAATCTAGGAAAACATAAGGTAAGAACATATATTTTAAAATGTGACACCAATCAATGGTGCCACTTTAATCTTTAGTGTCTTTTCACACGTTCCGGTGGCCGGGTAGCCAGTACCCGTTGTCCGGCTGTAGCTTTCATACGAGCTGATTTTATGTCCGGTAGCGCCTCGCAGGTACGTCGCATAGTGATTGTACCTAGGCGACAATGCGCTAGTGCGTATGAAAGCATGCTGTTTCGTTCATACACTACGGGTTCGCTTGTCGCTCATCTGGCGGGCGCTTGTCGGGCAAATTACGCCGGTACGGGTGAAAGATACAGTATTATATACCACATGGCTATACCCTGCGCCGCCAGGTACCCGGCACCGGCTACCCGGCAACCGGAACATGTGAAATGGTACTTATGGTATGATTTTTTTTTAAATATGAACAATTGCAGTTTTTTGTATATCGATTTCAGTTAAAAGTTCTTCATAGTGTTGCTGTAGGATTTCGAAATGACAAGTGCAAGTAATGCTTTATAATGTACGCTTAACTGATAGTGGAGGACATAAATTTATGTATGTAGAGGTATCTAAAACATGTCCATAAAATATTTTATTCAAATTGTTCTCCATAAAAGCCGTTCTTCTTTAAAACTCTTTGGTTCGTTAAAACTTTAATGAGCATAGCATCTAAGACATTAATTTGTTGGCTGCTGGTCATTACGGCATGTTTATAGCCAGGTGGCTGGAATTATGGCCACCATTAGCCTGTGACGTTGCTCATGGCACCCGTTGTACTTGATAAGATTAAAATTTTACGCTTTTCCCATCTCCGGCTTTTCTAGTTTAAGTTTGAATAACAAATTACTATTCTCTCTTTTGATGGCTTTTATATGAGATTAGTTGTGAATATGAATTGTAAATTTTCCTGTACTTGTGTATCTGGTATTCGTTTTTTTAAATAAAGTTTTCATGTGTTCATGTGATTTAACTATTAACAGAGCGATTCTTCTTAGGCCAATTACAAACACGAAGGCCTTTGACAGCGTATGGCACGACAGTCTAATCGGCAAGCTTCCTGCATATGGACTTCCTACTGTTCTGTGCAGATGGATAGCAGACTTTCTGAGGATTCGGTCAATACGAGTAGTCATCGATGGCTGCTCGTCTGACCAATTCGGTATTAATGCCGGCGTCCCTCAGGGAAATTAAATTTGTAACTTCTGAGACAAGTCTTATGACATAGGGTTTTTCGAGAAATTTTCATAGCATCCGTTGCTTTTTCTAGCTAAACAAGTATTTTTTAAGGGGGGGGGGGGGAATCTTCGAATGACTGCTCCCGCCTAGGCAAGGCGGGAGAGAGTGTCAGACTCTCATTGACTAAAATCCACCCCGTTCCTTCTCCTGCACGTCGAGCCGGAGCCTCGGTTACCCGTTAGGTTTTCCGCGACTCCGAATCTGCATCAGCCCTGTTGGGCCCCATCCATGGTGGTCTGATGGCTCTTTGAGGTGCGCGCGGAACGCGACGCTCCGTACACTCGGGTACTTCACGGGTTTGGATCGACTTGATTCTATGTTCGAAACCGCTCTCACTGAAACTTTTCTTAGTCGCTTCTCTGTCTTAATTACAATAAGAGTAATTAACACGAAGTGCCATTATCCTTAATTATGTGATGCGGTTTCATAATTAAATTAATTGTATTTCCTTTGGAAGTGTAAGTGATCAAGATAATAAATTAATGATATGGTTTACTTGGCTTTGAGTGTAAATATTTTTTTAAATGTTATTTGTGCAAAGACAACAGATAATATTTATTTCTATGACATACTATGATGTAATGTCGTGGTCGCCTGGTGGTTTATGACGATCGCTTCTCATGCATGGGGGTGCGGGTTCGAAACCTACCAACGGCAAGTAAGTAAAGCAATGTGACTTTTTCCGAGTTATATGTACTTTCTAATATTATTTAGACACCACTGTCAAACGGTGAAGGAAGATATAGTGAGGAAACCTGAGCTTATAATTCCTAATTATAAGTTTGAATTTAATTATCTGTATTATTTTATGTTACCACATACCTAAGTCAAACATTGGGGGACACAATAAAGCATTTGTGTTTGTATTTAAAATGGGTAACCTGCAATAAGTAAGCGTGGCGATTAATGCTCAAACCTTCTCCGTGTAAAAAGAGGCTTTGCTCAGCAGAGAGTTGAAAAATTTTATTTAACTGTACTTTCTACCAGATATGTTATCAAATTATTATATAACACACTTTATAATTAATTAACGGATTCCTGAGTAGTGCCTGGTAGGCACAAGACAGTCGGCGAAGCACTGATTCATGGTGGATGTCCGACCTACGCGCACGAAGCGCTTCGCATCAAGCTTCCTTGTGCGTACTGCTAAGGAGTAGAATTCTTTGCCAGAGTCTGTATTTCCTGAGTGGTATAACTTGGGAGTCTTCAAGACCCGAGTGAATAGGTTGCTTATGGGTCGACGTGCTCCATCGTAGGCCATATCATCGCTTATTACCAGATAGTGGTCAAACGTCAGTCCCATCAAATATAAAAAAACGGCTCACTCATAGGCTCACTCCCTATTACATAGGACTCATAATATAAATAGTGAAAACTGGGTGTTACATTAAGTGCTGTAATCTGCCTAGCCCTTCGGGGATAAAAGTTGTGATGTTATGTCGTGGTGACATTAAACTTTAGACGGTAATTTCTTAGTATCTTTCATTTGCAAGTTATTGAAAAAAAGTATTCTTTCGTTGCTTTTCTTTATCCATTTCAAGATCTATAGTACAGTACATAAAACTAGGTTTCAAATTGAACTAAATAGAGCCATTAAGTAATTTCTACAATTTGTTATTAGTTTTCTTTGTTTTTTCTAGACTAACGTACATAATGGTACAATTGGTTAATTATTTTTATCGTACAAAAACGTCTATAGTTTTGAGAAATTGCCGAAACAAATTACCTTGCGTGTTTTTTCTTGAAGATAAAAATAACAACGTAATTAATGGAGCTCAGTTAATTAATGTAGCTTATTTTTAAAGTAGGAGCGTGTTATCAGATTTTATGTTCTAGAAAAATAAAAGATAATTAGTGCAATTTCTTTTAAAACCGCCTTATCTAGGTAGATGTTTTAACAAAGTGGGTGAATGTTCATACATACATCAACAGCCTATAAATACCCACTGCTGAGCAAAGACCCTTCACACACGAAGAAGGTTTGAGCATTAATGACCACGCTTGCTCAATGCGGGTTGGTGATCATAAACTTATAATTAGAAATTGTAAGCTTAGGTTACCTAACGATGTTTTCCATCACCGTTTGTCAGTGGTATCTAGATAATATTAGAAAGTACATATAACTCGGAAAAAGTCATATTGGTACTTGCCGTTGGTAGGTTTTGAACTCGCACCCTCATGCGTAAGAGGTCTTAAACCTCGGGGGCACCACGACTTTTTTTTAAATGGTGAGTGGGTGAATGTTGATTGTTTTAAATACTTTCTTTACTATTTACAGTGCATTTTTCTTGTTTGATGGATCTTAGTAATAGACTTAATATACAGTAGGTAGTAATAAAATCAAATCATTTTTGTCATGATATTAGAAGAAGATAATTTTAAAGATATCCGAAAGTTTTTTTTTTAGCATTTATGGTAATGTTAGCTATAAAAATCACATAACCTTTGGTGAATGAAAATTAACCGAACTCATACATTTTCTACTACTTCGAATTAAAACTGAAGTTGACTGCACGGTTGCAGTGGCTGGACAACCGGCTGCAGTGCAACATGTCGCGGGTTCCATTTCAGCACGGAACAACTCTTTGTGTGATCCATAGATTATTGTTCCGGGTCCAGGTGTCATGTGTTTGTAAACGCACCCACGATACAGGAGAAAATTCTAGTGTGGGGCAAAGTTTTATTAAAAAAAATAGTGTCTAAACGTTCGTAATGGTTATAGTAACTACAATGTCGTTAATTATATAGTGACATTTTTGACCTACATACTATTATTATTTATGTTTGAACAGGTGCCCTTCAAACAATCCTATTTAACTTAACACTGAGACAAACTAAGTACAAAGTGGGTGGCTAACGTAGACTTACATAATAACTGGAACTGACTAGACGGGACCGTCAGAATAACGTGGATCAAATAAAAATTTATGCAACATTTGTATGGAAAATATTTTGCTAGTAGTCGTCCAAGTGTGTAGACGGAAGTTTGTTGAATTTTGTATCGAAATATTTATTGAATAAAAACCGAAACAAAACACAAGCGTTGTTTCATTTCGATGTCCAATAAGACTATTAAATGACGTAAAATTACTCTGGGCAGGCTCAATCATGGCATTTATTAATGATATTCATGTCATACAAGGGATTTGGAGAAACTGCTGGTACAGTTTTTGAACCATTATATCACTAAGAATTTACATTTTTATAATAACTATCGTGAGACATACTAAATTAACTAAAAAGTTAAGCTCTACTAGTTTCGAACCACAGAGCGGTTCTTCCTCATGAGCAGCGTGCGATTACAATTTATACATGGAAATACAAATTGCGCGACATTTGATTTTGTTATATCGCCATTTCTAATATACTGGCTTGCATGTAGAAATAGAATATGACCAATTGACTTTGGACTATTGTACGCTTTATTGGAATCGGCCCATGTGGCAAGGGTTGAGGCGTCATGCACACATAAATGTCCTACAGTCGGTGGCGCTGTGTGTTGGGTTGTTCCGTTCCCAATAAAAAGGTTGACCGGACCAATTGCTGACACACACGTCATACTCGTGAACGGGTGCCTTCTGCTGGGTCAGGTCGGCTCTCCCATCTTGTTGGTGGGCTGGTTTCATAAAGCCTTTGAAATAGAAATAAATAAATAGTGCCTAATTATATGTAACCTATACTTTTGCTAATAATTATAGATGTAGTTAATTGTAGTATGTAACTAGGTTCCCTCTTTACTTTATAAAAATTGACTAGATGTATTATAATTAAAAAACTGT